TACAGGTTCATGTAGAAATAAAAACAGTAACTTCTATCACTAAGTAATTAGTGAAGTTTTATAAGGATAAAGCCAAACAATATTTTATTTTTCATCCTAGTACTTACAGTAAATCATTAGTTCCCTTTTTAAGACGTTTGGTTAATGGTTTTAGAAGCTCTCGGAATGTGCTCTGAGCAGTAGTGCCTGCTTGAAATCTCAGAAGCAATTAACTCATAACACTAAAGACTGGCAGAGTTCTCATTGCAGTCTTGACTACCAGAAAGAATTCAATAGCATTGTATTATAAAAGAGCTAAAGATTACTATATTTTTATGAATTCCTATAGGATCATCATTAAGGATTAAGAAATCATTGATTTAGCAACATAGCATCACTACAAGACATTATATTTTTATCTGCAGAGATCTGCTCAAAAGGATGGGCTAGTACCTAGTGTTTGTCATATATATTTAATAACAACAGGAAAGCATATAAATAGCAGGAATCATTCCGAAATAAATGTCCTCTGAGACTTGCCTACAAGAGAAAATCTATCATAGAGTTGTTTTTAATCTAAGGCAGACCCATCTCAGGAAGATCACCTGCTAGCTTTTAGCTTCTCCTTGTCAGCTCCTGACACTAGTTCCGGAATGGCATTCAGAGATAAAAGAAGATCTTTATGGATTTTCATGAATATAAAAATTATCTTCCTGAGTTACATATTTGGAGGTATATTTGAATTCTGATTCATATTTAAGGAAAAGTAGCACTTACACAGAAACTTAGCATTTCTCATAGTACAAAGATTACTGCAACTGAGCAGAAAATTTCATATTTTGTACATACTCCTTAATCATCCCTATGCCTTCTTGTAGAATACCAGCAAGAAGATATGAGGGTTTTTTAGTAATGTTTTTTGCTACTGATGAGATCAACAAGAATCCTTATCTTTTACCCAACATGTCTTTGACATTCTCCCGCATTGTTGGCATGTGTGAAGACACTTTTGGACTTCTGGATAAAACATATTCACCAAAAAACAATAATTTTATCAATTATAACTGTAGAATACATACAAGATGTGATATACAACTTACAGGACCATCATGGATGACAACCTTAAAACTGGCAATTAATTCTAGGAAACCGAAGGTGAGAAAGTGTGACACTGGGTGAGTTAACAATGTTCATTCCATTCATAGGAGAAACCTTGGTCAGCATGTGTTTGTGTGTGTGCTGTTTTATACATATTATAAAGGATTTAAAATCAGATCATAAACGCACTGTAGGAAATAGGCAAAACTCTCTTCAGGAATGCACAAATTTGTCAAGAATAGTCTAGAATACAAAAGGAATAATACATGTTATTTATAGAATAATTTTACTATTCTTAATGGGAGTTCTGAAAGGTGAGTAATGTTATTTATATATAACTCCAAACTTCCTTAAGATTATATTCCTCGTGTGGATGTTTCATCCTCTCTTCTACATCTTTTAGATTTTCTTTGGACCATTTAATCCTAACCTGAGTGACCATGACCAGTTTCCCTACGTCCATCAAATAGCCACCAAGGACACACGTTTGTCCCATGGCATGGTCTCCTCGATGCTTCATTTTAGATGGACTTGGATTGGCCTGGTCATATCAAGTGATGACCAGGGTATTCAGTTTCTCTCAGACTTGAGAGAAGAAATGCAAATGTTTGGGATCTGTTTAGCTTTTGTGAATGTGATCCCAGAAAACATGCAGATATACATGACAAGGGCTATGATATATGATAAAGAAATTATGACATCAACAGCCAAGGTTGTTATCATTTATGCTGAAATGAATTCTACTGTAGAAATCAGCTTTAGAAGATGGGAATATTTAGGCGCTCAGAGAATCTGGATCACAACCTCACAATGGGATGTCACCACAAATAAAAAAGGTTTCAGCCTTGATTTCTTCCATGGGACTGTCACTTTTGCACACCACCACAGTGAAATTACTAAATTTAGGAATTTTTTGCAAACAATGAACACTAGGATATACCCAGTAAACATTTCTGAGTCTATACTGGGCTGGAATTATTTTAATTGCTCAATATCAAAGAACACCAATAAAATGGTTCCTTTTACACTCAATGACACATTGGAATGGACAGCACTGCACAAATATGACCTGTTTCTGAGTGAAGAAGGTTACAATTTGTATAATGCTGTGTATGCTGTGGCCCACACCTACCATGAACTCATTCTTCAACAAGTAGAGTCTCAGAAAATGGCAGAACCCAAAGGAGTATTCTTTGACTGTCAGCAGGTAAAGTTTCTTACATTTTATAATGCTTATATATATAAATGTGATCATTTAAATGGACCCAGAGAAATAGCTGTACATTTGCTAGAGATTATTCATTCAGTGGAAAGATCTCTACATTCCAAGACTCCCTAAAGTGTCTTTTACATGGGTAAATATCATGCAAAAGGATGACATTTAATAGTAGACAATACATGTCCTATGAATTTCAGTGAGTTTGGGAAGATGTGTCTCAACATTTCACCAAATGAGTTCAAAATTTAAAATAAGAGCCAAAAGTTCTATCACAAAAGCCTTAAGTGATGACTAGAATAGAATATTTTCTTAAGAAATATTTCTGAAGTTTAAGTATATGTACTGTGATTAATAGTTAATCACTTAAGTTAACAATTATTTTCAAAAGCATAAATGATTAAGACTTCACATTTTATTAAGTTTATGTTTATTTTATATGTGTGTGCTGTATGCACATGAAAGACCCACAAAAATCATTTTCACAATTTCCAGACATACAGACTTATCCTTCATTCTCATATACATGGCCTCACTTTTTAAAAAGCTTTTTGACAAACATGTGTATGAACAAACACATACACACAATCACACACACATACACACACACTCACCCACCCACATACCATGTTACTTGTTATCTGGCAGTCACTTTTTTTCTAGCATGTTTTACCATCGAACATTAATATGAAGTATATTAACTTGTAATTATCCATGAGGTATATTGTATTTTCCTACATTGGATTACTTTAATACAGCTGTCTTTTCTGAAAGTCATTAAAAATTAAGTGACATTGTCAATTTGGCATTCCCTTTATGGACATGCACATATATGCATCTAATGATTCTCTCATTTAGGTGTCTTCCTTGCTGAAAACCATAGTATTTACTAACCCAGTTGGAGAACTGGTGAATATGAACCATAGGGAAAATCAGTGTGCAGAATATGACATTTTCATCATTTGGAGTTTTCCACAAGGCCTTGGATTAAAAATAAAAATAGGAAGCTATTTTCCTTGTCTCTTACAGAGTCAACAACTTCATACACCTGAAGACTTGGAGTGGGCTAGAGGAGGAACATCAGTGGGTATACCACAATTTTTACTTTTTTCTTTTTTTTTAATTGGATTTTTATTTACATTTCATATGTTATCCCTTTACCCCATTCTCACCCACTCAGGAACCCTCTATCCCCTCAGCCCTCTTCCTGCTTCTCTGCGGATGTGCCCCTACCTACCCCCCCACTCCCACCTCCCCACCCTCAAATTCCCACCTACTGAGGGGTCCAGATTTTATGAGACCAAGGATCTCTGCTCCCTCCTGTGCCCTACAGGGCCCTCCACCCTTCCATATAAAGCTGGAGCCATGGACCCCTCCCTAAGTGCTCCCAGGCTGGTGGTTTAGACCCTGGGAGCTCTGGTTGGTTATAACAAAAAACCCAGGATAGTGAAATTATTCTCAACAATAAAATAACTTCTGGAGGAATCACCACCCCTGACCTCAAGCTGTACTACAAAGCAATAGTGATAAAAAACTGCATGGTATTGGTACAGAGACAGGCAGGAAGATCAACGGAATGGAATTGAAGACCCTGAAATGAACCCACACACCTATGGTCACTTGATCTTTGACAAAAGAGCTAAAACTGTCCAGTGGGAAAAGGACAGCATTTTCAACAAATGGTGCTGGTTCAACTGGAGGACAACATGTAGAAGAATGAAAATTGATCCATTCTTATTTCCCTGTACAAAGCTCAAGTCTAAGTGGATAAAGGCCCTCCACACAAAACCAGATACACTGAAACTAATAGAAGATAAGGTGGGGAAGAACCTCGAAGACTTGGGCACAGGGGAAAAGCTCCTGAACAGAACACCAATGGCTTATGCTATAAGATCAAGAATTGACAAATGGGACTTCATAAAATTGCAAAGTTTCTGTAAGGCAAAGGACACTGTCAATAGGACAAAACGGCAACCAACAGATTGGGAAAAGATCTTTACCAATTCTATATCCAATAGTGGGCTAATATCCAATATATACAAAGAACTCAAGAAATTAGACTCCAGACAACCAAATAACCCTATTAAAAATGGGGTATAGAGCTTAACAAAGAATTTTCAACTGAGGAAACTCGAATGGCTGAGAAGCACCCAAAGAAATGTCCAGCATCCTTAGTCATCAGGGAAATGCAAATCAAAGCAACCTTGAGATTCCATCTCACACCAGTCAGAATGGCTAAGATTAAAAACTCAGGTAATAGTAGATGCTGGAGATGATGTGGAGAAATAGGAACACTCCTCCATTGTTGGTGGGAACGCAAGATGGTGCAACCACTTTGGAAATCAGTCTGGTGGTTCCTCAGAAAATTGGACATAGCATTTCCTGAGGATCCAGCTATACCACTCCTGTTTATATACCCAGAAGATGCTCGAACATACTTTTTCAGTGTATCTAAATTTTAAAATATGAAGCCCTGAAGTCATATCTCTGTGTTTAAGACTACTTGCTACTCTGGCAAAAGACCATCCTCAGTTACAATCACACCAATGTTTGATAACTCTCAGCTTCATGTAAATCTGGTCATAGGGATCAAAGGCCTCTGGATTCCATGTTCAGTTGTACCAACATGCCTATTCACCCTACACTAAACAAATATATTTATTAAATTCATAATATCATATGTACACACACACACACACACATATATAATTAAAATTTTATAACTCCATACAAATCATGGGATTTTCTGATTCTGTGTTAACATTTTTATAGCCTAATTAAGTATAGCATTCATTCATTAACAAAAAATTTTCTCCATATTCAAGATTTTCCTTTTTTAATTTATATATTTTTATTAGTTTTGTATTTATTTACATTTTAAATGTTATCCCCCTTTCAGGTTCCCCTATTTTTTCAAAGGATTGCCTTATCTGGCATCAATGGGTGGAGAGGCCTTTGGTCTAGTGGAGGTGGGGTGCCCCAGCATAGAGGAATTGCTAGGGTGGTGAGGCTGGAGTAGTCAGCTTGGTTGGGGAGCTCTCTCATAGAATCTGGGGGAACAGGGGATGGGATGGGGGTTCATGGTTTTCTTTGAAACTTAGGAAAACTTCATTAATTTAATGAGAGTCTTATTTAACATACTTTGTTTATATTCATTAAACAATGCTTTCTTGATTTACCCTACCTTATCTCTCCATAAATTTCAGGGTTTTTTATTTTTATTTATAAATTTTAAAAGAGAAACTGATGCCGTATAAACATTGTTTTTGGCTTAATCAGCTTAGGAAAAAAGTTTAAAATTGCTCCAACCTAAATGTTAAATATATAGTATTACAGGATGTAATAAATATTGTGTGACATTCTGTGCCCTGCAGGGCAATACAAAATAAAAATGTGCTTGAAATTGTTAAGCAATGCTGGTTGTGAGAGGAATGTTTTAGCCATATCTGTTAATGTTCCATATATTAATTTATGATTCATTAAACATATGATGTATTTATATTATGTATTTAGTGTACTATTATTAAATATATATACTATAAGTATAAATATGTTAAATATTATATATATATATATATATATACACACATTTATATATATTTATAATTATGTATTGCCTCAGGTTCCCTCCTCCATGTGTAGTGTGACATGTACTGCTGGATTCAGGAAAATTCATCAGAAAGAAACAGAAGACCGCTGCTTTGATTGTGTCCAGTGCCCAGAAAATGAGATATCCAATGAAACAGGTATATGCTGGCATGCAGAAGAAAAATTGCTGAATTTGAATACCTTTTCTTTCTGAACTAGAAATATGATATGGTCTAGATGTAACTGAAGATCTAAAATCTCCATGTTTCTGAACTTAATGAGTTAAATAATATCAGCTTCTTTTGGATCCAGTAAATAACCTGCAATTTCTTCTACAAAAAATACATTTCTCTCACAATATGCTGGTTACTGATTTTATATTATGTAGAAAACTTTTAGGAGGACATATATGTGTAAATATCTTTTAAACAAAAGTTTTAGTTATAATCTATGCATATGTTATTCTTCTATGATTCTTTATACAAAGAAACTTGAGTACATGATCAATCCACAGTCTTTCCCTCCATTACCCAGCTTAGTCCCTGACAAAGATCAGATGCTCAGGGTAACAGTTGTAGTTTAATGAAATATATTTTAAGAGCTTATGGCTGAAAGGATTAAGCATTTCTTGTCAAAGAATTAGAACAAGAGTGAAGATTTCAAGAATGCAACAAAAGAGGGGATAGAGCTTATCATCAATCACAGCCTAGCTAAGGAAAGGGGGATGAATGTGAATATCCATAATCTTCATGCCACACAGCTTTGAATGTGTAGCTTGGAAGAAAGAGATTGTACCACAAGAGGGACATGCATAGGTCTATGGGGAATACAGCTACAAGAATGAAAATATTCCTTTATGGAAATAGTATTTGCAGGCTGTATTGTATGTTCTGGTGCCTCTTTGTAGATACAGACAAATGGCAGAACTCTCAGAGCAAGCAAAGTACATAATGCACTTCATCAGCTAGCATCAATAAATATCTCTGCACACTACTCTTAACTTTTACTAGTCAATTTATGGTTTGAGGAATTAAATAGTCAGATTATGAATACTATTCTTCTTC